GTAGGATATGGTCTTGTCTCGAGTCCAGGACTTGGGTCTTTGGGGTGCTGTCCCCCGATGGCAGCCCCTCAGCTATCTGTGGGACTATGGTTTCTGAAGCCCAACTGTCAGTTGCTGCCTGTGTTTCGCTGTCCACCCCATCATCCCCAATTGGTTCCAACTGCTCAGTTTCCTTGGAGATGACCGGTGTAGGCTGATCCACAAGAGCGGAATGCATTAGGGTCTGCTTATGCCAGAGTGGATCTCATTCCTCCTGCAATTTCTACAACTAGAAAACAATAGTGTATAATGGCACAACAATATCAATTCAACCCATTTTCACATGTTAAATTAACATTATGGGCCAATCCAGATATAAAATTAGGGAACTTTTTGTGTGTAAGGCTTAGATTGATAAGGCTTTTTTATAGTGGATCAGTTGATAGATGATGAGGATGATGTGCAGTCTTAGAAATAAATGGAATAAGAAGTTAGATTACCCTGTTTTGCCAAAGCAATGGGATATATCCTTAAAATCTGTACCTACTCTCTCTATGGATCTTAATTAGAGACTTGTTCAGCAAAAAAATATGTTTAGGATATACCGGACTCCACAGAGACTCTTTAGCAATGAACTGAGACTCTTTAGCAATTACAGTCTGGTGTTATAACTTACAAGATGCATCCCTTAAATATGTGCTATAAGTGAGTTCAGTCATTCAGTTTTTCTGGGAAGAAGTTATTACTCATATCAATTTTGTATTAGAATATTCATTGATCTTTGAGGATTCTTATGTACTATTAAACTATCTCCCCCGTCTCTTGGAGGCTAACCGATGGTCAACAGAAATGGACCCTCTGTGCCCTTACTACACCTAAAAGACTCACATTACAACATTGGAACGATAAAGGCCCACATCTAGTAAATCAATGAATTGAGTACCTTAGAACTCTATGAACACATGGCATACAGATGGCAATTGCGTATGGGCTTGTTTTTAAATACTTGGAAATCATTTATAGAAACTTATGTATAGATCCGCCACCACTGTTATAATTTCATCTTGTCTTTATGGGGTTTTTTTTCTTTTTAAAAAATTTTTACTTAGTTGTTGGACTTTAAGTTTTCCCCCCTTGGTTTTTTTCCTGTTTTTTGAAAGAAAGAAATTAAAAAAGGAACTTGGAGACATATTGAGGAAACAGGTTTTTCCTCACTCACAGGTTGGAACTCCATTGGCTGGTCTGAGATTATGGCTACCAGAGCTTTCTTCCATGAAGGTAGTCTAAGTCTAGAGGAGTAGTTATAACCAGCATTTGTGTGTGTGTGTGTGTGTGTGTGTGTGTGTGTGTCTGTGCAAACTTCAAGCAATGTGGGCCAACATTTACCTACGTTCCTCTCTAAGTCAGATCAAATAACAGACATGGCCAACTGAGGGGGAATTTCCTTCTATAAGCACACCAATTTTTGAAAGATAACTGCATAGGGACATGGTCACACTTTACCACAAAGCTAAAAACAAAGGAAAAGCCTAACCAATCTAACAAAGATACAGCTCTCCATCTAACCAAGTAACAAAGAAAGCAGATTGCTAAAGCTCATCCTGGAGAAAAACAATGGGCACAACATGGACAGCAACTTGCCTCTCCAGGCTTGTGCTGACACTTAAAATCTTTTCTTCCTGGGAGGAGAAAGCTGAATAACCAGCTATTTCCCTAGTCTTGAGCATTTTCAAGATTGCTTCTGCTTCTACACAGAACCCATTTATAAGACCACACGGAGAGTGTGATGAATATCATGTTCCTACATTTTTATACTATTGCCATTACCTAGTGGTGGCAATTTAATTTTTATTTTGTACATTAAAGCATTCTGGGAAGCAATACTACAATGCTCCTTTTAATCCATAATGTGCAACAGGGTGGACAAACTAAACTGTCATTTGCCCAAGGATTATACCTAAAGCAAGGAATTGTGCATTATAGAATTACACATTTACTGCATCTGTTTCTCATCATTTTGCATCGAACAGAAGTATCTGGGAGTTATTTCAGATTGCCTCATTAAAAAGTATTAAACAAAAGTAATCGATTTTAAGAAATTACCCTACAAGTTCAAGTCTAAAACTAGTTGGCATTTACTTCCCATTTGCACATGAATTCTGGGTCATTTCAGCAACATTTGTTAAAGGTTTTTCTTTCAGGAGAAGAAAACAACTGCTCTTAGAACATTTAGAAATTGAATGGCTTTAATGCTGGAACACTGAACTTTATTTAAAATTGTAACATCAACACACACAGAAAGGACATGACCAATCCGGAGTGAAATGCAGGGACCAGTCTTTAGCTATTAGGTTTTAATAGTTGCCATTCCGTTATCCCAGTTTCACTGACATAGCTTCCCCCAAAGAATCACGGAGATTGCAGCTTGGTGACAATATCAAGAATTTTATCAGAGATCCCTAGCCCAATCACAGAACTGTGGCTCCGTATGACCAAAGTATGATGGCCAAACCTCTTTAAACCTGTAGTGTAGATATGCACAGTGTGAATTAGAGATCGGACTAAGGAAAAGCTTCTGTCCCAGATCCTAAATGTTCTGATAATCTGCACAACATGCCTACAAAGCCGAACACAATGCAGCAGCCCACCATGTGTTTGATTCCCCACCCCCCCAAAAAAAATGTCCAATACCAAGCAGGCAGCAAAACAAAGGCGTGTATCAATCCTCTAGCCTAAATGGTCACAGTAACTGGTGTTGAATTATGTAGGTCTGGTTTAGACCTCTAGCACAAGAGGAGCTCTTAATTTGGTATGTTCAGATATCCTTGTCAAACAGACAGGCATCTGCAGGTATCTCTGGTTTTCCACTGCAACTGAAACTGGTTCTAATTTTCACATGGATGGTTACATACATCTCCACCTACTTTAAACATAGAATAAGCAACAACACAAAACCTAGTAATTTTGCAGTCTCCTCTTTCGTAATGCAACAGAGACACTTTCACTTTTCACCTTGAATATGGAAGACCAGTATAATAAAACTAGCCCCATTTTGAATCTGATCAAAATATCTCCTCTTTCTTGTTGAAAAAATATTAAGGCTGAAGGATACTCATTTTGTCACTCTTGTATAATGGATTCTGTTCCGATCTGTTTGTTCTAATCAGTCTCAATTAACAAAAGGCATTCATTTAAATATTCAGGAATCACAGTAATTCATTTTGACAATGAAGTACAGGATGGGTTCCTGGTAAAATTGTCTAACAGCATCAGCAGTTTTGCCTGGGATTTTATTTTATTTTTTGTAATCCTCAGAAGAGCAAATGTTACCTTTGACCCTGTGAAGTTCAGTGCAATAAATAAATCATTTGAAGGCGTCTTTCACATGTTAAAACAGGAAGCATACAGTATGTGAAAACTGTTGAAATCCAACCACTGTTCGTATAATTTGTAAATTAACAGAGAATAATTACTCTATACATTTTAGTACATCCAAAAGTGACATTAAAATAGGCTAACAGACTTACAAATTAATGGATGTATAAATATATCTTTGTTTTGCTTATGGTATCATCAGCAACAAATTATCTGTAGCCCATGTTTTTCTTAGAAGTTCAATAACAAGCAATAATCCCCAAACCCCCTTTTTGGTGTAAAAGACAAATAATTACACAGAATTTTATTATTTAGGACCATGCAATGACCACTTCCGACAAACACCTGGCCCATTTTATCATTCCTGTGCCCTTTTTACTTCAACCAGATGTTGGCCACACTCCACAGAATGTTACTTGCACAAAAGCACCATTGAAATCAATGCAACAAGTTAGTTAAAAAATACCTGAATGCCATTAATTTCAATAATGCATATGCATGGCAAACTTTCTCAGGATTACGGCCAGTATCCTGGAATGCATCTTTACTACTGCTGGTGTCTGCTTGGGGGGGAACCATTTAGCAGTCCGGCAAAATACATTCTGCATTACAGATGCTTCCTGAAAATTAATTCATACCAACATCTTGTTTCAAAAGAATAGAGAATTGGAATAGCTGCCAATTGCATGTTTGACTCTTGAAAAAAAATTGTAATAGAAATCTGCAGGGGACTACACTTCCCAGGATACTCAGCAAAAGAAGGGGTAATTGGTAAGGGAGGGAGGGAGAAAAGAGAAAGAAAGTGTGCTGTGACAATTGGTGTAGAACACAAACCCAAGTTGTGCCTGTTTTGTCTTCCTTATCTCAGAAGCAAGCTAAAGGATTCTGTTATTTGTATTCATTTTTAAATGGGAAAAGCTGCTCGATCTCTAGTTCTTTCCTCGGGTTTACACTGCTCCCTTCCTTGGCACACTTTTCAACTGTTCTCATTTCAAAGGTAATCTCAACAAAGGTGGCAACATTTTGCCTATTTGGAAGGGCTGAGAACAGTTAGTGGGGGGCATTTGCAAAGGTTGGTGAGACAGGATGCCCCTTAAAGTAAGGCACACTTAAGAGAGATCTCTCCCCGTTTGGCCCTTTCCAGATGTTACAATCACACATACCAGGAGGCTGGCAGCTATACCCCTCCTAATACATGGCACTCACCATGTTGTCTGAAAGGGGCAACACGTGGATTTTCAGCTTTAGTACATATTGACAAGAACACTGAGCAATCAGTGTTTCATGTAGTGTGTACAAAGGCTTTATGTATGTGTGAAACAAATGTATTGCCTCTCTCAGACAGCATAACAACCGTACATATCAGAAACACTGCAGGTACTAGGTAGTCCATGCTCCTGATAGGCACAGTTGGCAGGCAATTATAACGTCTGAAAAGGGCTTTCCTATCTAGCTTATTGCTAGTGCCATTTTCAAACAAAGAAAGGTGCACCTGTATATCATGAGCATTTGTTATGCCTTAAAAGAAAAGGGGGGGGGGGAAGAGAAGAGAGAGCGAAAGAGACATCACTGCGTTCAGCAGAAGTACATTTAATACAATATACCAAACTCCTTGAGCTTCTTTACAACATTCTCTTCCACAGTGGACCAAGTGCCTTTCATTAACCCATCAGTTTTTCCATGCTGGTTGGACCTTCAGAACTGTCCTTTGCCCAGCAGTTCCTTGTCTGTATATGACTGCTTGGGTCTTGATTCAGTCATAAATCATGGCTCTTCTTTCTTGAGTAATCAGAGCTCCTCCTGTTCAAACAAGATAGAATGCACAAAACATTCAGCTTGAAAATAGACATGGAGCAGCTCTTACTATCACAGAACATACCAGAAGGCTCCCCACCACCACCAACCCAACTTCAGGCAGGGCTGTGACATGTTAGGGCTAGACACACCACATATTGGCTTGTGGGACTTTTAGAAATTAGCCCTACAGCAGCGTTTGCAGGACAGAATTTAAGCAGCATGCAAACAGGGCTTTGTTTGAGTAGGAAGCTAGGCCCAGGCAGGAGCAAAGAGGAAAATCTTCAACTATGTACAGGAATAACTGAACTAAAGATTAGCTGTGTGGGCCACAGGTATAAAAATGAGGAGACAGGGGAACCTATCAGTGAAAGGCACATCAAAAACAGCCAAGCTAAATATGATGAGGCCCATAAAAGCACAACACAATGAGAAATTAGTTTTCTAGGGGAAGTTCAAAACACTGGGGTTCTTAATAAATCAAGCAAGTTCGTAAGGGCCCAAGGGTGTTCAGGGGCCTCTCCAGCCAAGGACCCAAGGCAGCTGCCTCAGATACCCCATGGCGAAGGGAGTCCCTGCTTTGTAGACTGGATGAAATTGGTTATAAAGAATTCTCAGTTACTTCTCTTAGCAGAGTAGACAGGAGGGCAGGTTGGGACAGTTTATGGGGGAAGGACACAAAACCTCCTTCCTGTCACAGGCTCTGAGGTCAGCGGTAAGTATTGCTATCCAGAATTGCTAGAACAGTGGATGAATAGATTAAAGGCAGAACTACACCTGACGTGTGAAACATGGAGTCCCCAATCCTGAGCTTGTCTTGTGATACAAATGAAGGGATGGATTTTCAAGAAACAACATTAGGGGACAGGAAGGTGATTAGCTCCTATACTTATCAGTTCTCCCATAAAAACATCCTTTTAGGCTTCTTTGAACTAATCACACCCCAGTTGAGCTTCAAGAAAGGAAATCACCCTGAAGGAAAACAGCCTGGAGAGGGGGCATTTCTGAAGTGAGCTGACAAATACATCTCAATGTGGATCTTCCCTTAACCTCAACATTCATGTTACCTCAGCAAATGTGGATTTAGGAGCATGCACTTACATAATAAGTAAATACTGTATCTGTAAGATTATTTTTAAAAATTCAAATGTAAGAAGGAAGTTTTCCCTCCACATAAACTAAGTACGAAGTTTTCCCTCCTGGGCTTTGAAGGGCCATACTCAATGAAAATCTACTTCTAGTAAAATCTGACATTCAGTGAAACTAATCATATCCCTGTAATTATAACACATAAATACTTTAAAAAGCATTTCCTTGTGGGACTTGAAAAAAAAATAGGAAGATTCCTAAAATTCCTATGCAGAAACTTGGGAATTCTAAAGATATTCTTAGTTCTGCTTGCTGATAAGGTCAAGCAACATCTCCGACACTATCACAGTGATGAAAATTAAGGCCAAATCCTGCCCCTTTCTCCAGTTGTAGGAAAAATAAGACTGAACTGAATCAATGTAGATGAACTTGCAATTTCTTGTGCTGCAAGTTTCTTCAACACATCAGAGTACTCTTTCATTTACAGGGGAGTGATACGGTTAGATCTCATCATCTACCATTTGCCAATCATTCAAACCTGTTAACATTTGGAGACTCAGAAGTTGAAACAGATATTTACTGGACTTAGGGAGACCCCTTCACTTCTAGTGACACAGAAGTATTGAGATCCAGGATTTGGCCCTAATGTACAAATTACAACAAACACAGGACTCAGCTGAAAATGGCAGCCATAAGCTCATATCTTTACTCCTCCTCCTGGAAAATCTAGGTCCATATAAACTGGATCTTGATATCATTACAACGTGTTTTTCCTCATCCCTGCCAGCCAGTTATGATGACTGGGAATGGGGAAACACACATTGGAAAGATGTCAAGATACATTGAAGTAGATGTTACAGAAAAGGGGGAGGCTAGACACAGGGCTGGTGTTTTCCACAGCAGCTACAAGTTCCCACTCAACAGAGCATAAGCAAGCAAGCAGATTACCACAATGGTTAGAATCCCCATCATTTTAATCCCCATTCCCAGTTCTTTTAGAGTATATGAAAATACAGCCTTATGAAGACATAGAACCACAGGGAAAATATGCCAGAGAACAAAACATTGAGGATGAAAATTTGCAATAGACATCAGGATATGATTCATACAACTTCCTTTTTAATGAAAAGGAAATATTAGAAATGAAGTTAACTAACCATGTAGTTTTGTCCAAGGTCAAAACTAGTTTCATAAGGAAGGGAATAATAATAGTAATAAATAACAAGGTTAGTAAACAGTAAAACAAAATAGAGCAGAAAGAAATTTATATTACAATAATTACCATTGGTGAAGAGTGGAAACCATAAGCACTTGTTGGGAATTTAAATAGTTTCTTGTATTAAATGATTAAATGAACAGCTATGTCCACTGAAGATAATCATGGTAAGGCACAACTATTTTGAAAATCTGTTCTCTGATGTAAGAATTATTTAAGAGGCAAAGGCATATTCTTTTGAAAGTTATGAAAAGAACCTCAAGTCTATTTTAGGCTACAGAAAGGACTGGTTGATTGATTGTCCCTGTGCTTTCTGTATAAGAAATCTTTCTCATGAGTGGTCTTTCCTGAAAAAAAGGAAAGGTCAAATAGAAAGTCAAGGCTTATGAGAAATGAGGAAATTGCTTCATTTCAGCTTATGTTCAGCGTGTTTTTCCCCACCACAGAACATTAGGCGTGGCAACCTGATGCTTGTCAAGATCCTGAATAGCAGATGGAGACCCACACAGATGTGAGTCAGACAAATCCAAGAAAGCTATTTAGTTGTTGACAGTTTCAGGGAATGAACAAATGCATTGGAAGTCCTTCACCAAGGAAGCAATCTACAAGCAGTGTGGCGGAGATCTTGATTACTGTAAAGCTTTTAAGGAAGAGAGAAGTCTCACAGGTACATATTATCCCATCATAGTGCTGCCATGAAAGGAAAAGGTGCATCAGCAATCAGCAGTTGTCCTGATACAACCCAAGCCTATTCAAGCTCTTGAATCCTCTGCACAACTTGTGAATGTAGGTATGTGCTGTCAAGCCACAAATGACTTATGATGAGCAAGGCCCTTTCAAGACAAGTGAGACACAGAGGTAGTTTGCCATTGCCTTCCCCTGCAGAGTTTTCTTTGGTGGTCTCCCTTCCAAGTACCAACCCTGCTTAACTACCAAAATCTCATGAGATCAGGCTATATCATGTCACTTTCCCTCCCTGCACACTTACTTAGGAGTGAGTTACAGTACATGACAGTCCAGAATGTGGGCTTTCCGAAAATTATGAATTAGAAATGCCTATTTCCATTTATCAAGGGCTCATGCAGGAAGAGTTCACATTTTCAGGGGGGGGGGATTCCAGTGTCCTAAATAGATTGTATTTGAATTATATTTAATGAACAAAACTAACAAGAGAACCCCTGTCATTGCTCTGTGCTGTGTAGATAATCTCAATAGGGATGGGCACAAACTGGCTCATGAGCCAAAATTCTGCATGAACTTGGGCCACTTCAGAGCTGCCAAACCGATGTTTGGGAAAGGCGCCTTCCCCAAACATTTACCAGACATTTGTCCAGTTCAGTTCAGCTGTTTGGGGCCATTTATTTAAATGGCTGGAGTGGCACAAGGTCCACAGCTGAGCTGTTAGGTTTAAATGGCTGTGAGCCATTTCACCGGTGGATTTTGCTTCCCCCCACTTCAAAGTGAAATGGGTGCCAGCCATTTAAACCTAACAGCTGACCGGTGGACCTGCCCCACTGTGCAACTTCGAAGTGGGGGGAAGTGGAACAGACTGGTGAAGTGGCTGCCAGCCATTTAAACCTAGCAGCTGATGGGCAGACCTGTCCCGCTGTTAGGTTTAAATGGCTGTGAACCATTTCACCAGTCTGTTTCGCTTACTCCCTGCTTCGAGGGGGAGAGCAAAACCGATGGGTTAAATGGCTGCCAGTGGCGCAGGTCCGCTAATCAGCTGTTAGTTTTAAATGGCTGTGAGCCATTAAACCTGTCAGTTTCACTCCCCCCGCGTCAAAGCTTGTCTTTTGCAAACTGATGGCTTAACCAACAAGTCTATGCTACAGTTGCCAATCTCCAACTGGGGCCAAGAGCTCCCAGAATTACAAGAGATCGCCAGACTACAGCAAGCAGTTCCCCCGGAGAAACTGGCAGTGTTGGAGAGTAGATTCTATGGAATTTTACCCTACTGAAGTCCTTCCCCTCCCCAAACCCTGTTCCCTCCCCAGACTCTTACCTCCATATCTCCAGGAATTTCCCAATCCATAGCTGGCAACTCTAGTCTAGTCACAGGGACAACTAGTCACTTCATTCTATTCACTAGTTGTCCTTGTAACTGATTCTCCAGCACCAAGAGTTGTTGAGCTTTTTTCTTTCCTGTTTAGGCATTATGATCTCATTGAAATAACCAAAAGAATGAAAAAAGGAACACTTCCAGCCTTCCCAAGGAATTAAATACCGCTTAGTATTGGCTGATGGAAGTGAAACCAGGAAGTAGCCAGTTTTAGTTTTGTTTCTTGAGACTACTTAGCACAGTGGGTGAAGTTGTAACTTTATTTTTGGCTTGGATTATGTAATGTTCTCATTATACTGTTATACTTTGAATCCTTTTATACTACTGTAAAACACACAACCTAAACATAAGTTTGCCAATCTCCAATGGGGCCTAGAGTCCTCCCAGAATTACCACTGATCTCCAGACTACAGAGATCAGGTTCCCTGGAGAAAATGACAGCTTCAGATGGCAGACTCTATGGCAGTGATGGCGGACCTTTTAGAGACCGAGTGCCCAAACTGCAACCCCAAACCCACTTATTTATCGCAAAGTGCCAACACGGCAATTTAACCTAAATACTGAGGTTTTACTTTAGAAAAAACAACCCATACATTAACTTAAGATGATCCAAACAAAGTAAGGAAAGCAATCCCAAAT